TCGGGTGTGCCACAGGGCTCCGTCCTAGGGCCCTTATTGTTCATTCTATTTATTAATGACATAGGGCTGGACCTTTCCTTCAAATACCTTCTTTATGCAGATGACTTAAAACTGTATGCTGTCATAAATCATTTTCTTGATTGCATTCGACTGCATCATGATCTGAAGATTCTAAATCTGTGGTGTAACAACAACATGATGCCTCTTAACATTAACAAATGTAGTGTCATGACTTACTCTTTGAAATCGTCCCCAATTCTCTTTGACTACAGCATTGGCTCAACATCTCTTGCTAAACCGGACTTAGTGCGCGATCTAGGTGTAATATTCGATAAAAAGTTGAGTCAATAGTGGCAAGCTCATCTAAAACTTTAGGTTTTTTGGTCAGATGCGGTAGGGATTTTGCTTCACATAACTCGATAAAGCTTTTGTTTACCGCTTTTATTCGCTCGAAGTTAGAATATGCCCCTGTCGTCTGGTCGCCTGGTTATAGCGTTCGTTCGCAGAACTTGGAGTCCATTCAAAGGCGATTTCTAAAATATATGTATTATAAAACTCATGGATTTTATCCTGAACAGGGTGTTCCTCAGACTGAGTTGCTGAATTTTTTTTCGATGGACTCTCTGCAGACCAGGCGCGAATATTTGTCACAAGTTTTGTTATACAAGCTGATTCATAATTCGGTAAATTATCCTGACTTACTTGAGCAGCTGAATTTTATGGTTCCGCGGTTAGCATCGCGATACTCTGCTACCTTTTACATTCCCACCGCGAGGACTAATGTCTTGAAGTTCTCTGCCTTATATAATATGTGCAACGTATCCAACCGTACCAGCGATTTAGACATTTTTAATTGCAGTTTGAGTAGCATTAGGCTAAAATTCTGTTGTGCCTAGTCTTCTTGCAAGTTCGTTGCCTTCGAAGTTGAGTAATTTCCTTCATTAGTATTTTTCTTATGTTCATTTTGTTTCGGATCATCTTTTTTGCAATATTAGTGTATTTGCGTGGTGGTGTTTATACTTTGTAAATAATTTTGTAATTCTGATGAAATGTAGTTGGTGTTCTCCTGCTCTATAATTGGGTTTGATCCTGTTGAGCAGTATATGTAAATAAATAAATAAATAAAATAAAAAATGGGGTTAAGTTTTAGAGAAATGTTATTTCTCAGGTTAGACTCACCTATTACTCTTATTGTCTTTTGTTGTCTTTGTTCTATAGTAAGTAAACCACAGGAAATTAATCAGTTTTTATTGCGAAATCATACAACGCAATCTAATGGGGATATTTAACATAACTAACAAACTCAGGAGCCAGAAGACAATCTTCTAGACAATTTTATTTGATCTGGCCATATTTGCAAAAAATACTACCGATTAACATTTTTTTATTTTGGTTACAACAGTACTTGTATTATCAGCATATATATATATATATATATATATATATATATATATATATATATATATATATATATATATATATATATATGTGAAGCCTTTATCCTTCGCAACTAGTAAATGCTGCTGGTTTGAGGATTATCAAAAATAGAAGCACATCGGTTAGTGATGGTGGAGCTAACAGACCGAATTAAAGCTGTAACACTTATCTAATTCTTGCACTTGGCTAGATACTCTAAAAAAAATCTTATGAAAAAACCTACATCTAATGGTTTCAGGGGTGTCCTATCTCTCAACCGTATTTGGTGGGTTTTGGTCTATAATTCCTCAGAGTTGAACGCACTTTATTCTTTTTATACAGCGTGATTCATTAATAATAGAAAATATTTCCACTGTTGAATATAAGTATTAAGACCTTAGATAAAATGTGTTTGTGTTTAGGTTGTGATAGATAAATGTTGAACGTAACTATTCATTGGAAAAAATTGTAATAAATAAAATTATGCTTTTTGGTAATACGGATTAAAGTTTGATTTGCGTAGTATGTATGTTATTTGTGCAAAATATTAACAAATCAAAAAATTATACCAAAATGGCAATTTTGTCAGTGGCGTAGAATTTGGGGAGGGTCAACCAGCCATTTGAAATTGTTGCATACTGTACTTTCCGTGTGGTAGGGATTCTTCAAATAGGTTTCCAATTACTAATGTATTACCCCATAACAGGCTGGAAGCAAGTTTTTCAATGCGATTGTACTGGTAAATCGTTGTTGGTACAGGATCGGTTAAATAGGATCAGAGTATTTGGATGCAAAATGCTCAAAAGCTACCAAAATTAAATTATCAAAATTGGAAAATATTTAAGAAAAACTAAATTCTTTGATATTAGAATTTTCCTTGCAGCATATTTATTTGCGATTTCATAAACAAAAAGTTAAATAAAAGTTGTAGGATTCAAAATTAGTTTCTTGTTGTTTTGTTTTACCAACACTGAAATTTTAAATAAAGCAAACTCTGTTATTATGCATTCTTAGATTCCTTATAAAAAACTAAACTAATTTTATGTTATATATTTTACTTAATTTTGACAAAAAAACTATTGAAAATCCGAATATTCTCAATTTTGAAATGAAATCTCTCAATTAATGAAATGAAATATTCCTTACTCAGTAGTAAAATTACAACAAATTGAAATAAGAGAAAGAAAAAATTCAAAAAGGTACATTATTTCGAATTGAATACGAATTTCATCATAATCTAAAAAAACGATTTAGTTTAAATTTAATCTTGGTAATTTCAGGGCATTACCTATCCATATTTTTTGTTTTGTTTGAAAGTGGTTGAAACTTACCTACACAGTTCGATCTATTTCTTCTAAAAATTCTGCTATTTTTAAAGTTTTTGCTCAAAATACCAAAATAATTATTAGATACATTATAAGAGTAACGTCATGGTTGTTCTGTTACTAGACGAGTGTATTTTGCTGTTGTTCAATCTCATATGAGCTATCGCTTATTTTTCCACCGTATTTGTCCCGCGTTTACTGGTTGGCCATTCACGGCGGCTCACAGTTGGCGGAAATGGTCTACGTCGCGCAATCAGACAGGAGGATTTCCGATTTTCGTCTGAGGAAAATTCGCGGATAAGTGGATGGTGGTCCAGACAGCCGACGTAGACGACGCCCTGCATCGCGGTTATTCGATTTTGGAGACGGGGATTACCGCTCTATCATACCAATCGCCAAGCAAGCGAAAATACCGCGACAATTTAATGGGTGCCACACAATGGGCGTTCATGATGCTGGATAAATTTAAAATATTCCCGAGGGAATATATTTGAAAAGATTACAGGTGTAAGGGAGAAAAATCTCATATGTCTAGACTTCATATTTTTTGCCTGGCGGGAAAATTGGTAATGTGTCGGAAAATTGCGAATTCATATCTAAATTAACCAATATTTAACATTTTTTATTCAGTGTGATATACCGAAATTTTTCAGAATAATAACTTATCTTAAATTTAATTATCTAAAAGAGTTCCAGTTATGTAGGGGGAGTATACAAATAATAATAATAATAATAGGTCTTTTTTTTGACAAAATTACTAATAAAAAATACCAATAAAAACTAATATACTTACATACTTTTCAAAACGCAAATTCTAGCGTAAGATCTTGATCTCAAATAATCAATATTAACCATATATCGAATATTACAATAATACTAAAACAACAAAGTATAAAAGTCCAAACCCCTTTTTTTCCCAAGCACTAGAACAGATGTGGATTCAAAATAAAAATATTTATAATAATAAATCATAATATAAATAAAAAATAATAATATAATAAATATAAAACATATTTCATAACCTCAAATACAAGAACTGCTGGTAAAAATTGGAACAGTTTTGATCCATTTCAACTCAAATACTTTTTCTGAAATGCCAGCAAACTTTTTAAAAACCATAAAAAAATCGGGCACGGCTGTTCTGGATTGTTGCGATCTGCTTTCATTAGCAAAGGTTAAAAATAGAAAATAGACAATACAGTAAATTAATATAGCGCGTGTCTGAGAAAACACAAAAATTAGAATATCGTAACATTGCTTCTTCGTATTACTATACGGCATGTTTTGCTAAAATAAAATAGCTACGAATTCTCTTTATTAACCTGTCACATATTATGTATCTCATGTGACGAATAAAAAATAAGTGGAAGCGACAAATAAATGTATTTAAATGTTTTGGTCTAAAAATTAAAAGTAATTAGAAATTGGAAGCAAATTTTATATTTTAGTTATAATAAGCATTTAACAAGCTAATAATTTAGTAGGTAGTCAACCTATTCTTATATCGGTTGGCGGATTCATAAAGATATATTGGAGGATATGGCTTATACGAATGTATAAATTGTTAGTTTTCTTTTTCAAGTGGGTTTTTTAGGTTTTGTCTTATTTGGTAGAAAATTAATGAAGAAAAATATTGCAGGAAAACATTGTATTTGCCTTAATATTTAAATTATTAGGACTATAGGCCAGATTTTCTAAGAAGGTACAAAAATTACAATATCTAAATAAAATAATTGCAAATAACTTCTATTAATTAATATTTCATTTTTCCTCATTAGTTGACGCATTGACAGACATTCTTTATCAAAAAGTATGTTAAATATTATAATAGAACATCATACGGAAAAGGCAACTTAAAAACAATTCGTGTATTCACAAGTTTTTAGTTCAAAATTTTCATAGTACATCTGTAAGCAACATGTTTAACTTTTAACAGCTCCTCCTGAACTGGTCGTCCTGTATTGGTACGAGTGTAATTTATTGCCCCCATAACACAAAAATAAGGCCTAGTTACAGCTACATAAGGAAAAATCGCAAGCTCGACGAAAACAATCACCAACAATTTCGGTTTAAAAAAAATTCCGCCACTACAGTTCAAATTTTATTTTTATTTGCGTGTTTTATTTTCAATTTCAATCAATTTCTGAGCCCGTTGGCGCACCGAGCTTGCGCCTTTCCGAATATGCCTCTCCCACCGTTCCAAACGAAACAGCTGAATTCTCCACGTCGTCGACACTTTGACTTGACAGTTCTCTCCAATCCGTAGAAGGAGTGAGTACGTTTTCCTTGCTCATCAGTAAGGATTCAACGTGCTCTTATACTGCGGAAAGCGATTAATAATCGGCGTGTTCCTTCGTTTTTGCGGTGATGTTGTTGCACTCGGACAGCTGTAGTTCGAGCGGTACCGCCACCAATACCACACAGGGTGGTACTTCGGCTAGAAGAAGCGGCGTTGGTGTTCCGGTAAAGAAGGAATTGATTCATCCGAGGATAATGGATTCGCCAACGTTAGCCAGGGTGGAACGCGCCATGCTGAGACACGAAGGGGTCAACAGAGAAGGCCAGGATGTGATAAGAGCTGGGTTTACTCAGGTCGGTACCACTTTGAATTCTTTCTTTTTTATAATGGATGCAGTGTAGAAGGAACAAATCTAATGTTTTTTTGTGATGTATCTACTTTTCTTACCATGACTTTTTTTTAAGCCGAAACGTAAAAACAATTGCAAATGGTAGTTAGCAGTCACTTTTTTATCCTTTATAAGAAGCCATTTCAGAACAAAAAAAAAACATCTAATTACTATATTAACCTCGAATAAATACGGAAGTTGGAAAAGTATTTCCTTGCATTGGTGGATTTTTATGGCGACCGCGGCAAACTTTTATTTTACAAAAAGGAAAAGGAAGTACTTACGTTCAACATGAATTTGTTGTGGGTAGATGGAATTATGTCCAAGTCATCAATGTTTTTGTCGTTCTAAGCATTTTTTTTTAATTCTCGTTCGAACAGGTAGATAAAATTGACAAAACGTACTAAAGAAAATTAGAAGTTAATGTTTAACAACCAGTATCTTGGAAACTATACAAACTGTTTTTTTTGTGTACAGTTTCATTTCAAATGGCAATTCGTTTTGACGAATTTGTAATTTGTTGCCGCCATTAAAAGATACAAGTAAAATTGTGAAAACATAAATCTTAAAAGAATTTGATTGCCGGTTATCGACAAATAAAAGTTTTGTCCTCCTGCCAAAAATTTGCGTTATTTTTAGTATCGGTGTCCAAAAGAAAAATTCGAATTTTCCAAAATATGTATTTGAAATAGAATATTTGATTAACCAATTACTAGGTATATATTCGCGTTTGCTAAATTATAAGTAATTATTATACTTAATGTCTTTCGTTTATGCTATATTTTAAGCGAATTTCGAGATTTTTTTTTAAAAACGAACAGCCTTCTATAAACATAGTCGCGGGCACTTGTTCCGGATGTTTACCCGTTTAACGCTCCACATCCGCATATATATGAACTTCTGGGTTTTTACTTCAAAATTCCTCGTAGATTAGCAGATACAGATTAGCATAATTCTTGAGTAAAATTTTATATTTTAATTCCTTGTGGTTAAATAAATATTTCGTTTAGTTAGGTTAGGTTTGGATTTAGGTTAGGGTTAGACTATGATTAGATTTTTTTTAAAAATGGTACTTTTAAAAATCAGTTTTTTTTTACTTTTTTTTTAAACGATGTATTATCTAGACTAAGATGCTATTTATTAGCTATTCGATAGGGTTTTGTCAACTGAAAATTTTGTTTTATCTGTATTAAGCATATTCAGGCAACTTGCACTATCCTAGTAAAAAAAATAAATTTTACACTTTACAATTTAGTTATTTCTTATATTAAATCTTTTTTTATTGTCCCAAGACTGACTAAAATTTAATATTTCGAAACCTATCGGACATAAGATAAAGCAAAAGAAGGTTATTATACAATTTGTAACAACAATAGTTTGCAGCGAGTGCCAAATATAAATATTTTTAAAAATGCTATAATATTCATTTCCTATGTCGAAAAAAACATAAAAATAGCAAATTTCATTTCGATAATTGTAGAAATGTCATATTAACGGCAACAAAACAATATTTCTATTTTATCTTTTTAACACCCCGTATATTCAAAGTTTCTGAGTTTGGTTTGACGAAAAAAGCAGTTATTGTGTTGTGTGCTACCCATTATTATAAACTTCTTGGCATATTGTTAAGCGAATTTGTTAAAACTCGGTACTTAGTTTAGTTAAAAAAAATTACCAAATTATTTTTTTGTCTATAAGCAAAGCAAAGATTTTTTTTATTGGTTTTGGTTAGTCGCACCCAAAATGCGCGACACACTGTATAGTGATTACGGGAACGATACACTAGTTACCGGGTTAAAAGGGGAACTTTCCAGTAGAGCTCCTCGTTTCCCTAAACTTTCATAGTCCTGTTTTAAAAGGGGATAAGGGCTTGGCTATTTGCGTCAACAATGGAATTATACACTTGCACTTATATGTTAATTTAATATTTCTCCCATATAACGGATGCTTTTACGGCTCTATCAGGCGATTGCAATTTAACGTTTTGTTTTTAGTCGATTAAATGGGTCTCGAAATATTTTTATAACCACTTATTTGACGCACTAAAAAGAGAGAAGACTAAGACCTAGAAATTGGGAAAAAAATTTAATAATTTTTTCTTGTGTATTTTTTCTTCACAAAGAATGTAGCATTGTCGTTACTGATAAGGACATCACCATTCTCGAAAAAAAAATATTTCAGATTGATTTTTTTATATCCTCATGCGTGAATTGAATCAAATCCAAATAATTTTAGAGCAAAGGGTATGAGGTTTACATATAAACTTCTAATTTCTGGGACACCCTAATTGTAAACTAAATAAAACTAAAATTTTTGTTTACCAATCGAGATATTTTTGCAACCTTCGTGCGTGTTGTACGATATCGACAATTGCGCATCGGCTTTGCCAGCGACCTCAAGAGGTCAACTCGTATGAGTTGAAACGAAAGGATGGCCGCGCAAGATCGCGACTGAGATTGTGCGTCTACAGATTAAAATTTTTTTTCGTGTAATCTCCATACAAGGCAATGATCGAATGAAACTGTTATCGTCGGGCGATAAGGGCCCCAGGACTCGACGTCACGCCATTTATGCTGAGGACATCTTCAGGTCATTAGCGGCGTAATTACCGAGAAATTTGCCTTTGGATTTGGGGAATTAATTAATCGCTCCTCATATTACATACACACAGTATTGCGTTCGTATAAACCGGTCGTGATAAACATTTTAATGTATAAGAAATAAACGAGTACAATTCAACCACCCAAAAAAATGTTGCTTGTGCCGTTTAAACAAAAAATTGATATATTTTTATATTATGCCAGCAGGTAAAACTAAAAAATAAAAATTTATATGAAAAGTTCCAAATTGTACTATGTGACTTTTCAGAGCAAAAAAATATTACGTAGCAACAAAAAACGTAAACAACAAATGACAAAAAATAAAACAGATATGTAGATTTAGATTTTTACCACCGAAAAAGAACGGTACTGCAATAATGTGACCAACTTTTAAATCTATCCACACTTATCCACTTATACAGTTTTTCCCACAATGACATTTTAAACCTTTGCTTTTAAGATATGACAATCAACAATCCTAACAATTTTGGAAATTTGGTTTTGTTTCCGCAATTTTATTTTTTACTAGATTTTCAAAATATTCTTGTCAAATTATTGTTATGTTGTTTCCATTTTTTTTTATTTCTAATTATACAGGACATGTTAATGTTGAATTCGGCTGTTCGACTTATCGAATCGAATGGTTGAAACACTTGTAAATCACATTCGTATGGCGTTAAATCCGTGTCATCTCAAATTTTTTCACGTTTTCGTGTAGAGTGACAAATATTAGTAGAAAAACGTTGAGCCCGATTGTGAAAAATCATTGAGATATGTATACTATTTTTCAATGGTCGTATTTGACAAGCAGCACCCTTAGATTTACACGAATGTCAAAACAACTTGAAAATAATATAAATACTTTAATATTAATTTATACATATATACATGGATTTACATAGTTCAATGGATTAATAGTAATTGTTTTCATAGCCTAACTAAGCAAAGCTACTGATGTTATAACTCGATTATGTATGGATGTAGTATGATTCAGTAGAGGACCAAATTTCATGATTCACACTGCTTCTATATTTATATAAATATTTTCTAAATGCCCGGCATATTATAGTGTTAAAACAAAAGCAGTTGACAGCGAAGAATCTCCGTCAGCGAGCACCAAATATGAACATAAACTTCTGAAATCGTTCCCAATTATGGAGAAGTAAAATTTATCACGCTAATATTTTAAAATAAAAGACATTGGGCATTAAGGATTTTTTTCTTTGCTGCAAACGGACATGCATGGCGCAGATGTTAATTATTTTAGCCTTTTGACAGTAGTCTATTATTGCCTAATCCGGTACAAGTTTGTAAACATTTTTCAACGATTGCGTTTGACTTGTCAACGAAAATATCGCACCATGTCGATGTTTTGATTAGTCGTACTAATAAACTCCAACTGATTAAACATACGTTTCTAAACTAAATTTTTGTTTTTTTGGCGATCCTTTCGTGTAAAGTATTTACCGAACTTGTTCCCTAAAAGCCCATGCGCGGGCGGGTCAAATTAAATTAGCTAGGAGAGAAACTTCATAAATATATCAAAAGTAACTCGGGGGGATTTGAAAATTCTCCGAAGCAGGGTCCTTATTACACAAAAAAGAGATAACTTCGACGGCGAAAAATTTCCACAGGCGACCACCGAGTGTTTCTTAATTATTTTGCGACGATAATGCCCGCGAAGTAAGTTCGTTGGAAGTTTAATGGAGTTGTCGGGCTTGCGTTGATGGATGGAGTCGAGATCATTATCGACAAATTGTAATCGGTTGGTCTTCAAGTTTATTTCGGCTCTTGCGAGCCGACAAAATCACATTTGAAATGAAATATTTGTGCTTGCAGACATTTCATTCCGGAATTCAGTCAAATCCTTTCGAAATGCTGAAATTCGATTTTTTTTTTAATTCTTGGACAATCTGGTGTCCACTGCTACCGGGTTTTTTTTTTCTGTTAATTTAAAAATGTTTTTTTCATAAAATTTTATTTGATAGGCCAAATAAATAATATGTACGTTTTTATTTTTGTTGGATAAGGAAAGTGGGCAAAATGAAACAATTTTTGAATCAATTTTTTTAACTTTTAATGTTTTTTTTTTTTAATGCGGAAACCAGCACAATCAAGATCACTCCATCTCAATCGCTCAATCTCATAAAGTACATTACTCTAATGAATATCCACAAAAAGGGAACACCATCGAAACCCTGGCTAAAACTACCAACCTTTGAAGAGGAAATTTTCTCAAAGGAAGACGTCATATTCAAATTCGCTGATTGCTGATTTAGCTTTTTATAAAAAGGTAGCAATATTTGACTCTTCGACAGCGGTTTTTACCAATTTTCTTTGTATATCAATAGATTTTAAATATCTA